TTATTTATGGAAAAATCAAATCACGTTTTTTCTGGAAAACGTGACTGCCGAAGGTGTTTTATGGACATTCCATAAATCCAATTCCAAATTAAACACCACAAAGGGTTTCGAATGACAATCGTACTGATGGGAATTACGTGTATGTCTTTGTGGACTTTCATCTCCAATTCCAAATTGGTAAGGATGAATTTATTATTATATATATAACTTTTATATAAATCAATATTAATTTATATTATATATATCACATATATATATAATTCAACAAAGAGATATATTTAATTTTCTATTCCAAATAGAAAACTTCAATTTGTTCACAATATTTATTATATCCATTGTGCTAGCAAAGAATATAATAATATTTCATTTGGACTAATAACTAATTAAATTCCTTAATTTAATTACCAAATAATAAAATAATCAATCCTCTAGCAAAGACCAGAACACTCGTTAGTGTGCGACCCCACAGGTTCAATACTAAGCCGGTAGTAAATTGATCACATCAATATACTAATCAAGGGTGGCGTCTAGCAACACTCCTTAACGACCGGATAACATGAAGTATACAATTTACTCTCAAGAACCAGTAGAAGAATAATGTAGTAATTCCTTCTGTCCTTATAGCTCTGGATCACCCTAGGATATGGTTCAACTGTCAAATCCTAATAGGCGACCAACTATGTGTCCATGTCAAATATATTCGACCATTGAATGATCTAAGAAACTCTTTTCTTCTTTCATTCAATTGCCCTGGCCAAGGTCATAGTTTGGTCGTTTATAATTTATGACAACATGGAGCTTAAACGCATTACCAAGAGTTGACAGATTCCATCTTGATCAATCACTAATTCTACAAGCATTTAATCATACCCAATATCCTTTCAACTATCGCCCTAGGGCCATAGGTGTCTAGTATCAAAGCACAATAAATAACTTGTCAATTACTATGACGATCTCAGGTCAAAGGAAACGGTTACATCACATTCTTCAAGAGAATATCCTATTGACAGTTTATGGTAATTCTAACTATTAGGAATTATCCAATGAGTCGGTTCAATGATCATATCTCTATATGCATCATCTATCTATGTAATTTAGTTAATGAGATCAACTAATCTTTATCCCATAAAGACGATCACATAAATATTGATCTAATCGGATTACTAATGTCCAGATTAATAATCCTACGATCAAGAACAGATTTAGATTAAATTATAAGAAACTTCACTCTCATTATCATGATCTCCATCACAATGTCAAGTCTCAAAATTTAATCAAGGACCTTATAAAATTAATCAAGCAATTAATAACAATGATAAAAGAATATCAAATGCCATATATATTTTATAAAAATATGTTCAAAACATCAAATGTGATATTGGATCTAGGGCATATCTACTATATCCCTAACAATAGATGCATCTATGGTTTGCGCCGTTTGACTCTCAACAGTGCACAAGTTTCATTTATGTTGGATTGGGCCGAACGTCCTCGGTTGCAGATACAGTTTATATTTATGTTGGTTCAGGCCGAACGTACTCGGTGGAAATCATGTTTGATAATATGACTGGAAATCTTTTTTATAATTTGTATAAATTTATTGTGGAAGGATTATCCGTTTAAATGAAGGAAGTGTTTTGGGGTTCTTTATTATTAATGAAAGAAATGTTCAACTATTTTCCTTATCCAAGTTTGTTGTTATTTCTATAAAACATGATTATTTAGAATTTCATATTATCATATTTTCAGACCAGTAGTAAATATCGAAGTCGGCCTGTCGTCACTACTTTTTTAAGGTTAGACGGGATATTTATTGGGTACACATTGCATTCGTACTCATAATACACTTGCTGTACATATTTGTTGCACAAGCACATGTATGTCTGTGGCCTTGTTGGGAGAAGCAGTATAGTTGATACGGAGACTTAGGTGAACTGTATCTCTTGAGACGACCCTCAACCAGCAGAGTCTCCTTCAGAATATCATACTGTATTTTCTTTTCTGTCCAATTTGTATTCTGGACAGTTATTGTATTACATTATTTCCTAAAAATTGCTCATGCACTTATGACACCGGGTTCTGGGATGAATATGGGGCATTCTGTATTATCTTCTAAACATTCTTTTATTTATTTTGTAAAGATTATCTTTGACGAGTTAAATTGAAGGAAAATTATAGTTTTCAAAATTATAAAAATGAGAATTAAATTAAGTATTGATATTTGGCTTGCCTGACAGCGGTGTCCAGCGCCATCGCGACCCTTAGTAAATATTGGTTCGTGGCACCTAACAATTTAAAATGATGGATTCTACTATTATTGATCAATCGTACACACCCTCGTCTACTTGCCTTCTATGTGAGAACAGTTCCATTGGAATGTGAGTCATCCGTGCAGTTACTAGTTGTAATGAGGGCACACGATGTCAAGTGCTTCGGGTTCACAAATTGGGACCCGTGACATGTGAATATTTTTAGGTTTAGTACCCCGTGGAGAATATTGGACAAATCCAGTATGAAAGTAGTTATTCTTGTCGAATTGATACCTGTCCTTTCTTTATTGTTTTCATCGGATTGAGACTGTGCTTAGCTTATTCTACTGTGTTATTACTTGTTGTGTTCCGTTGTTAATTGTTGCTTCTATTTCTTATAGTAAGCACTGTACTATTATTGTCAATGCGCGTAGTTCTGTAGAGATATCGTACTCTGTTAGTTCTCCACTTATACTTGTCTAGGTTATCTAGTCCAGTAGATGTCATCTCACTACCAAAATCCATTAAATGTCGTGATGACACCTAACATCGCTGTCACATAGGCCAACAATAATTGTTTAACTTAATTATTCATTTAGTATTTGAATTCACGATATCCTTCAATTTAATAGTAAAACATGGAATTACAGAGTTAATAAAAATATTTTAACAATTTCAATACTAAAAAACTCATAATCACCTCAAAACCCGATGTTACAAGTGCATAAGCATCAAGTTGAAAGTAAAATAAAATACAAAGTCACTAAATCCCCTAAGTCCCCGCATTAACCATCCCTCTGCTCTCACAAGGCCACTAAACATATATGTACATGCACAAAAATGTGCAGCAAATATAGTATGAGTACGTAAATCAATGTGTACCTTGTTAGTATTCAGTCTAGTCCCAAAAAAGTAGTGACGAGGGGTCGACTCCGACAACTACTATGTTCTAGCAATAAAATAGTGATATTATATTTAAGCATGTAAAACATAACATAGCTGAAAATTCAATAACCAGAAATAATAAACAATTCTTTTTACTAATAGAAATTCTCAAATTTGTTTTCATCATTTTGCAATTTATATCTCAAGACAATAGAGCAATGTCAATTATTATTAGTTCCAAAGAGTTATCATGCGCCAGTCATGTCGAGGTCGTACCACCCATCCAACATATAAATATAAACTGTGCACTGCTAAGGGTCAAACAGCAAGAGCCATAAATGGATCTATTAACCCGCCCATACGAGCGGCATGCTCCCATGAGAGTAGTGAAAGTTTACCCCGCTCGTGAAATATATTTGCGACGCGGTTGAACATGGATTTCTTAAGTTATTATAATATTCTTCAATTGTTTTTTTCAAAAATACGAAATTGAATGTAAACTTTCAAGCCTCGAAATCCTCAATTTCAACTCCTTTAAAGGCTTTTAATTAGCATAATTGATCTCAGTCATCTTCAAGGCAGATAATAAACATAATCAAATAACGGTATTAACAAGGCGTTGTGTAAACCTAAAACTACCCGGACATGGGTATAATTAGTAGAAACATACAGACTCTTGTCAGCTTCTGATACTTATTTGCACTTTTTTATCTCTATTTCGATACTGTTGTATTTGTAAGCTTTTTAATAAACTAAGTAGAGTTATGACTTCTAGTACTGGTTTTGGGATTCCAAGTTTTGTATAAAGGCTTCTATTTCGAAATTGTCAAATGTTATTTAAATATAGTTATTACTTCAGTTAATGTTAGGCTTACCGAGTCCCTAAGACAAGGTGCCATCACGACATGCTACGGAGGAAAAATTCGGTCGTGACAGTTATTACTGTCATTATCTTGTTATATTTGTGTTGTCGTTATTTTAATTTGGAGTGTATCTTTCAGACCAAAGTAAGTTTGTTACTTATTGAGTATATTGGGTCGGTTGTACTCATACTATTCTTTGCAATTCGTGTGCAGATCCAGGTACATATGGACACAATGGTTGCTTGAGTGGTGATAGTACCTATACGGAGACCTCGCGGTATATGTGATTAAGCCCACAGACCTTGAGTCTCCTTTCTTTCACTTTAGTTCAGTATTGTTCTATCTTCTTTGACAGTTATACTACAATTTTAGACTATATTGACATTAGTAGCTCATGTGTTCGGTGACACCAAGATTTTGCGATTCTTATAGTTGAGTGGCAATTATTTTTATCAGTTATTTATATGACTTTCCACTATTGAGCCTATTAGATCATGTTTTTAGTTTAAAATGTGTAGTTATTATGTGATTTTTGGCTTGCCTGGTAATGTGATAGTCGTTATCACGACAGGTTGGGATTTGGGTCGGGAGATAAAATTTCCTTTTCCCTTCCCTGTATATATTATTGATAAAACTGATAATATATATCTTCTTTCTCATTAATCCCACCAAGCTTGATGTCCCTATTTGTGGTATTATATCTAGTCGGTTATTTTATTAGGTCCCAACATTATATGACTTTGAATAAGATATTATTTTTGTTTTATTCGTTATTTTTATTAGTATTTATTATCTTATCATTTGACAGATATTATCATCTTACAGTCTCTTCCTTAATTTTATCTTATCCCGCTTTTACTATTTCCTCTTTATCTGTCCCTTCGTTCTTATTTCATGTATCCTTATTATGTAGAGCCGTTAAGTCGAAGCTAATTTCTAGATTCATTGCGGCATATATGAAAGAAAAAAATTAAGAAGGGGTAATAAACATGACAACGCTATAAACAAAATAAAAACACATGAAATACGATTAGATGGCTCCAATATTAGACTTGCAAATATGATTTGCACTTTATTCACTAGTGGAAACAACAGTCCTTATTCTTGCAGTAAGCAGCTGGCCAAGAAAGTTAACTAGCTGATGCATAGTAGTAGTACTAATTAAGAACCAGCAGGCTAGCTCGTTCAATATTAATTGATGTTAAGATTAAGTATAAAACCAGTAGGAGCTAAACCGACTCTAATAAGACCGGTGCCACTGCCAAGAGTGATATTTACAAGTCTCAAGGATGACGCCAAACGCCCAACCGATTGTAAGGTCGCGTTACATGTTGATAGTGGAGTTGCAACCACTAAATTGCAGTTTAGCAGTGGGAAAGTATTCACCGCCAAGGAAAATGCTCCCGATCCATTTGTTATTGTACTTGATATCACATTTGTTGCTCCACACCGCAATTGCACTGATGCATCTGCAAAGTTAAATGATATTAATATTATTTACGCAGTTAGCGCAACCTTGCATGTTAGCGGACATGATGAAAATATAATTATTTATGAATATAAGAAAATATTATCTCACACTTTTTAGACTTTTAGATGACATGATCATACAGTTCAACATGCAGAACCTTCTTATAACGTGGGACTATATACATCTTATGACTGCGAGTGTCGTATTCATTCGGCCTAAATTACTCTATATTAATACCATCCGCACCCATTGTTATGAAAGGAATAATGGATGCATTTTTATTTCTCTTAGACTTCAAAATCTGCCTAAATTTTAAGAAAGTTTACTTGTAGTCATCTCTTGGATCATTTGACAGTGTATATATACTCATATATCATAGGCTAATAACGCCACTTACGACTTCTTTCATAGGGTTGAGTGTATATAAAGGGCTTATTTTTTATTCTATTGAGGAGAGTTCCTTTTTGGTATTATAATAGGCCTACGTACAAAATAAAAAACTTACTAGGAAAAACTTGGGGGCTGAGTCCGTTGATGACATCTAAATTGCCGTTAACGCTGCAAAATACAAGCCCACTTATATGTGTTGAAACAAGTGTTGGAACAAGTATGGCAAATGCAGCGGGGGTTGCGATTAATGCAGCCAAAAGGAAAATCAAGAAAATTTTTGCTGAAGCCATGGCAGTTATTGTTATATGTGATAGTTATTGCTGTAAGAAATTGTGTTGCTCAATTAAGGTTTGTGCTTGATCAATTTATAGTATATATCATTGGTTGAAATTTCAAAACCACTAATCTGCCTGTTGTGAAAGTGGCTTATAATGCTATTACGTGTATATTTGCATGAACTAATTGAAATTTAAAATGCGCTAATCCACTTGTGTATTGCTATATGAGATGCTGGTGGTCACCCTGACTATAACTACATACAATTGCTACAAACTTCAATAATCAAAAGAAGCCCATCCTTGACTTCTAAACATTAGTTACTTTGAAAAGTATTTTATCAACATAGTAATTCATAAGTCACTTTGGAGAAAAATAATTTACGTTTGGCAAATTCTTTTGAAAGTATTTGATAAACAAATTGTGTTTGGTCATGTAATAACCCGATATCTTAGGAGTGAACTTTAAAGTTTTTTTCTTAGTTATAATTTATTTAATTTTCATAGGTATTTATATCCATGTACATCTATTGTTTTAATAAAATTATCATTTGCATAGGTATGAAGTACCCAGAAGGCTAGAACTAATACTTTGTTGATAGTGCAACTAGTGATGCCTAGTCAAATAAAAATTTAATAATTACTCTATAATAATAGAGTGGACCAATCCATTCAATCTAGTTACGTGCAGGACCTAGAAGGGGGAACCTAATGTAAAGAATACTAAATGAATAATTAACTTTAGATAACTAAGAAAAATTCACTACAGTGTAGAGGGCTTTTTAGCAGTGCCAGGGATTCTCTTGAAATGTTGGTGGAGTGATCTTAGTGCCCTAAAAAGAGTGAAATATTCTTGCACGTTACAACTCAACCGTGATAGTAAGGATTGATTTGTCATATCTTGTGATGTCCTAGGCATTGTTGTTATTGGTAATTGTCTAGTAGCGTGCCTACCTTGTGTGAGTTATATCATGTACATTTCGTGGTGATCGTTTGTTATGTGCCATTCATTGTTTCTACTCTTACTAGTTGGCCTGAATTATGATAGAACACTTGCACAAGTATATACGTAGTTAATCACCTATAATGTAACGACCCGACAGGGCGTTTTGAGACCTAGCACGTTGTTTAGCGATTTGAGGCTATCTGCAGCTTCAATTCAGGTATTATGACTTGTACGCATAGTCAAAATTGAATTCCGGGAAGTTCAGAGTTTATTTGGAAATAGAATTCTCATTTTGGAAGCTTTTAGTTGGAAGAATTAACTAGGATAGGATTTTTCAGTAATTGACCTCGGAATCGGGATTTGAATGTTTTAACAGGTTTGTATGATTATTTTGGACTTGGGTGTGTGTCCAGATCGGGTTTGGAATTACCCGAGATCGTTTTGGCACTTATTGTGGAAGTTAGCCTTTTTGGAAGAATTTCATACGATTGGGTTGAAGTGCATTTCAGTGCTATTGATGTCTATTTGGGATTCCGAGTCTGGAAATAGCTTTGTATGGTGATTCTGGTGGTGGGAGCACAATCGGAAGTAAATTCGGAAGTCCGTAAGTCATTTTTGAATCTGATTCCGAAAGTTTGAGTAGGTCCGTAATGTCAAATATGACTTGTGTGCAAAATTTAAGGTCAAGCGGATGAGATTTGATAGGTTTCGGCATCGAATGAAGAAGTTCAAAGTTCTAAAGTTCTTCAAGTTTGAATTGGAGTGTGATTCGTGATTTCAACGTTATTTGATGTGATTTGAGGCCTCGAATAGTTTCGCGTTATGCTTTAGAACTGGTTTGTATGATTGGACGAGGTCTCGGGGGTCTCAGAGGCCTCGGGTGAATTCCAGATGGTTAACGAATTAAATTTGGAGTTAAAAAAAGAATTGAGGTTGCTGGCATCTGGTGTAATCTCACCTGCGAGCTTTTGGCCGCAGGTGCAAGCCGCACTAGAAGTCGCAGAAGAGGAGCAAGGCCGCCCAGTGAAGGAATGCAGGTGCAGAGCCTTGACCGCATCTGCGCAAGCGCAGAAGCATGTGAGAACCGCAGAAGCAAAGGGAGCCTCGCACCTGCAAAGCCGTAGGTGCGGCAACTGAACTGCAGGTGCGGAAATGTCGTTGGGCAGAATGGTTTTATAAAAACGGGTCGTGACCCATTTTTCTCCCATTTTCATTTGGTATGGGCAATTTTGGAAAGCTTCAAGGGGAAATATTCTTCAAGCATCACAAGGTAGGCTGTTCCCACTCATTATAAGTTAAATACATGGCTTCTATAAAGATTTAAATACGGAAAATAGTGGAAATTGTTGGTTTTTGATAGAGAACCTAGAAATTGTATTTTTTTTTTCTGGCCACGAATTTGGGCTTTGAATTGGGATTAAAGTACATATTTTAGTTCGTGAGGCTATGGGCAATGTTTATCATAGAAATTTTTTGAAATCTGGGCACGTGAGTCTTAGAGTGATTTTCTTCCACTTTTTGATCGGAGTTAGAAATTGTTATAAATTGGATTATAACGAGTACTCGAGTGTATATTAACGGGTTTGCATAATTGCTGGCTAGTTTTGGAGCGTTGAGCATCGGTTTGAGTCGTCGGAAGGGCTTGGAAGCCTATTAAGGAAATTCGGAGCGAGGTAAGTCTCTTTTCTAATCTTGTAAGAGAGAATTGTCCCCATAGGTGATATTACGCACGAGGTGACGAGAGTCTGTACGTAGCTACTATTTTACTTATGTCCAGGTAGACTTGGACACAAAAGCATGCTATACTTGAAATGTTTGTAACCTTATTGACAATTTAAACTGCTTAAATCATATCGAATTAGTAAATGAATTTCTAATGAATTCTTGATTGATTATTTGAATGCGTATATCTACGTGCGCCCGTGTCACATGTATGTTTCGCCTGCGGGATAATTTCCTTAGAGAGCTACATGGTGAAATCCCCTCATTTTTGAAAAGAATTAAGAAAGAGGTATGATTTTAAATATTAAATTTGTATTTGACCGCATCGCTTGTATAATTCGCGAGTGGAGTAATTTCTTAAGTTTATATTTGATTGCATCTCATAAATGATTTACGAGCGGGGACTGCATCGCATGTATGATTCGCGAGTAGGGAAATAGATACATCTATGGTTCGCGCCGTTCGACTCTCAACAGTGCACAAGTTTCATTTATGCTGGATCGGGCCGAACGTCCTCGGTTGCAGTTACAGTTTATATTTATGTTGGTTCAGGCCGAATGTACTCGGTGGAAATCATGTTTGATAATATGACTGGATATGTTTTTTATAATATGTATAAATTTATTGTGGAAGGATTATCCGTTTAAATGAAGGAAGTGTTTTGGGGTTCTTTATTATTAATGAAAGAAATGTTCAACTATTTTCCTTATTTGAGTTTGTTGTTATTTCTATAAAATATGATTATTTAGAATTTCATATTATCATATTTTCAGACTAGTAGTAAATATCGAGGTCGACCTGTCGTCACTACTTCTTTAAGGTTAGACGGGATATTTATTGGGTACACGTTGCTTTCGTACTCATACTACACTTGTTGTTCTTATTTTTTTCACAAACTATGTCTGTGGCCTCGTTGGGCGCAACAACATAGTTGATACAGAGACTTAGGTGAACTGCATCTCTCGAGACGACCCTCAACCAGCAGAGTCTCCATCAGAGTAACGTATTGTATTTTTTTTTCTATCCAATTCGTATTCTGGACGGTTATTGTATTACATTATTTCCTAAAAACTGCTCATGCACTTGTAACACCGGGTTCTAGGATGATTATGGGGCATTCTGTATTATCTTCTAAACATTCTTTTATTTATTTTGTAAATATTATCTTTGACTAGATAAATTGAGGGAAAATTATAGTGTTCAAAATTTTAAAAATGAGAATTGAATTACGTATTTATGGTTGGCTTGCCTGACAGTGGTGTCTGGCGCTATCGCGACCCTTAGTGGATTTTGCGTCGTGACACCTAACAGTTTAAAATGATGGATTCTACTATTATTGATCAATCGTACACACCCTCGTCTACTTGCCTTCTATGTGAGAACGGTTCCATGGGAATGTGAGTCGTCCGTGTAGTTACTAGTTTTAATGAGTGCACACGATGTCAAGTGCTTCGGGTTCACAAATTGGGACTCATTACATGTGAATATTTTTAGGTTTAATACCTCGTGAAGAATATTGGACAAATCTGGTATGTAAGTAGTTATTCTTGTCGAATTGATACTTGTCCTTTCTTTATTGTTTTCATCGCATTGAGACAGTGCTTTGGATACTCTACTGTGTTATTACTTGTTGTGTTCCGCTGCTAATTGTTGCTTCTATTTCTTATAGTAAGCACTGTACTATTATTATCAATGTGCCTAGTTTTGTAGAGATATCATACTCTGTTAGTTCTTCACTTATACTTGTCTAGGTTATCTAGTCCAGTAAGTGTCATCTCACTACCCAAAATCTATTAAAGGTCGTGATGACACCTACCATTGCTGTCATGCAGGCCAACAATAATGATTTAACTTAATTATTTATTTAGTATTTGAATTCACGATTTCCTTCAATTTAATAGTAAAAGATGGAATTACAGAGTAAATAAAAATATTTTAACAATTTCAATACTGAACAACTTATAATCACCTAAAAATCTGATGTCACAAGTACATAAGCATCAATTGAAAGAAAAATAAAATTCAAAGTCACTAAATCCCCGCATTAACCATCCCTCTTCTCTCACAAGGCCACTAGACATATATGTACCTGTACAAAATTGTGCAGCAAATATAGAATGAGTACGTAAATTAATGCATACCTTATTAGTATCCAGTCTAATCCCGAAAAATTAGTGATGAGGGGTCGACTCCGACAATTGCTATGGGCTAGCAATAAAATAGTGATATTATATTTAAGCTTGTAAAACATAACATAGCTAAAAATTCAATAACCAGAAATAATAACAATTCTTTTTGCTAATAGAAATTCTCAAATTTGTTTCCATCATTTTGCAATTTATATCTCAAGCCAATAGAGAAATGTCAATTATTATCAGTTCCAAAGAGTTATCATGCGCCAGTCATGTAGAGGTCGTACCACCCGATCCAACATATAAATATAAAATGTGCACTG